CCTGATCCCTCCCCACCCATGGGTGACCCGGGGACACTGGGAACGGCTCCCTGTGGGATTTTGGGAATTCTCCCGGGTCTCCCCGTGCCCCACTCACACAGCAGGTTCAGCAGGCTGCTCTTGCCCGCGTTGGGGGGGCCGGCGATGACGGCCCGGACCCCGCCCCTGAGCAGCTCCCCCCGGCGCCCGTCCCGCAGGTGGGCTCGGATCTGCTGCTCCAGGGCTCGCACGGTGCTGGCCACTGCGGGGACAGGGCTGGGGTCACCCAAACTGGGGGGAAACACCAGGCAGAGCCCCTGTCCACACCCGGATTTGGGGATAAAACACACAGAGAGCCCCTGTCCACACCCGGATTTGGGGATAAAACACACAGAGAGGCCCTGTCCACAGACCAAACTGGGGAAAAATACCAGGAGGAATCCCCTGTCCACACCACAAATTGGGGGATAAAACACAGAGAGAGCCCCTGTCCACACCACAAATTTGGGGAAAAACATCAGGAGGGATCCCGTGTCTACATCACAAAATTGGGAAAAAATACCAGGAGAGACTCCACATCTTGATCCTCAGATTTGGGAACAGAACTCCAGGACAGACCCCATGTCCTGACCCCAAATTTGGGAATAAACACCAGGAGTGATCTTGTGTCCTGACTCCAAATTTGGGAAAAAACACTGGGAGAGACCCCGAAATTTGGGAATAAACAGCAGGGATAAACAGCATGTCCCCACTCAGGGACACCCAGATGCTCAAAGCCCCCTCCTGGATGTCCCCAATCCCCGGTGCCACCGTGGCCAGCAGCCAGGAGGGGACAGGAGCCACTCACCTCGAGACAAAACCTCTTCCTCCACGTTGTCATCCTCGCTGAAATCGATGTACGCCTCCAGGTGGGCGAGAGCCTGCTGGGAATGGTGGGGACACAGCTGTGCCACGGGGACATCCCCAAGCTGGTGGCCACCACAGCAGGGTTTGGTGGCCATTCAGGTGAGTCCCACCTGGGTTAAGGTCTGACTCCTGCTTGGGAATTTTGGGGACACAGCAGTGCCATGGGGACATTCCCAAACTGGTGGCCACCACAGGAAGGTGTGGTGGCCACCACAGCAGGGTTTGGTGGCCATGCAGGTGAGCCCCAATGGGTTTAGGTGTGTTATGGGGACACAGCAGTGACGTGGGGACATCTCCTAACTGGTGGCCACCACAGCAGGGTTTGGTGGCCATCACAGCAGGGTTTGGTGGCCCTGCAGGTGAGCCTCACCTGGGTTAAGGTGTTTTATGGGGACACATCAGTGCCATGGAGACACATCCCCAAGCTGGTGGCCACCATAGCAGGGTTTGGTGGCCATTCAGGTGAGCCCCATCTGGGTTAAGGTCTGACTCCTGCTTGGGAATTTTGGGGACACAACAGTGCCATGGGGACATCCCCAAACTGTTGGCCACCACAGGTGGGTTTGGTGGCCATGCAGGTGAGCCCCAATGGGTCTAGGTGTGTTATGGGGACACAGCAGTGACATGGGGACATCCCCAAGCTGGTGGCAACCACAGCAGGGTTTGGTGGCCACCACAGCAGGGTTTGGTGCCCATTCATGTGAGCCCCACCTGGGTTAAGGTGTGTTATGGGGACACAGCAGTGCCACTGGGACGCCCCCAAGCTGGTGGCCACCACAGCAAGGCTCGGTAGCCATTCAGGCGAGCCCCACCTGTGTCAAGGTGTGGCTCCAGCCCTGGTAGAGCTGGCCCAGCTCGCCCTCCATCTGCCTCAGGGCCTGGCGCCGCTGGGCCTCGGT